TTAAGCATCCCTTAGAAAATTTGCTGAGCTGAAGAGCCACAGTGCAGAAGGAAGGAAGCCACATCAGGAGGAATGTTCCCCATCACCTTTATTTTGAACACTGCTGGCTGTGAGACCAAAATCCATGCCAGAGACCGTGTGGTTTGTTAGGATGGGGTTGGAGGAGAGAAATCGCTGTTAGTTTGTTGTTTCCTCCATCAGTTTCTTCCAGGTATAAATAGGGAACCTTACTGCAGTTGCTGGTTATGATGCCAATCCTCTGACTATTGATTTCTGTGAGATGATAAGACCGATTCCCATTAAGATCATGAAGTAGGAGTTGTGTGATGACACCATGCTGTCCCTATTTGCAGAAGACATCCTCCATCTGACCATAGACTCAACTGGCAGCTCTGCCAAGAGGTAGCAGTGAGAGCAAGGTGTGTGCTCAATCATAGAACCATTAGAGTTGGAAGAGGCCTTTAAAGATCATCTGGTCCAACTCCCTTGCAATGAACCTACATCTACAGCTTTGGGTGTAGATGGTAGGTAGGTGCTCAGAGCTCCATCCACCCCAACCTTGAGTGTTCCAGGGATGGAAGAATGTTGACTTTTGTTTCAAAGCTAAAATTTAGAGGTTGTTTTTGAAGCAAATCATATCCTGCCAGATGCTGCTTTGCTCCAGGAGACAGGGATGCTGTTTGCAGAGGTGCCGGTGTCCATGGACAATGGGCCTTCCAACAGCCTAGTAGCAGCTTCCTACAGAACAGGAGATTTGCAGCCAAGGTGTCTGGGACAAAGTTAAAGTGATGACATATGGCCATAGAAGCTAGCTCATCCTGGAAGTTGTCTTTAGGTATTTTCTGAACCACATCTGACTTCTCTTAAATTTTTTTTCCACTGTTATTATTCTTTTTTCCTTGTTTTTGTTTTTGCTTTCCCCTTAAGGGAATGCTTTCATAGCAATTTCACAGGAATTCGGTTTTGGTTTTGTTTGTAACATAAGTGTTGCCAGTGGAGTGAAAACAGAATCCACAGGCGCAATTATTGGTCACAACAGAGTGAATAACTGAATTAATTCTCTCCAGCATTGTTATGATTTCCACGTGCACAGCAATGGCACAGGCTGCTGCTCTAACTGCAGTGTCTTCAGGAGAAGGAAAATTCTCTGAAGGTTTGTGGGAGATAATTAGTTTGAACCAACCTCCAGAAAAGATGTATCCTCCTGTGGGAACCTCGGAGCTAAATGTGGAGAATGAACAGGTTCCTATGGGTGACATGAGAGGAGACAGACATTGGGCTGCTCTGAGGAGGGACGAAGAATACTCATCCCCTGCCATTCACTTGGCTTCTTCATGATGCAGTTATTTGCATTTCTGCATGAATAGGGCAGGGATGTAGCCAATCTCTGCAGCAGTGTGGCACTAAAATTAGCTCCCTTTGACAGAAAATGCCCTGAGTTTGGCTTCATTATGTTTGCTTGATGTTTTTGTTATTTCTTAACTATTTCAGCAGGAGGAAGCAGGTCTTCATGAGCTCCAACTGACAAGCATCAACAGCACCAAGGTAAATGCCATTAGTTAATCCTAGAAAAAGTGTATAAATGTGACTTCTTTCCAACAGTGAAATTATCAGCATAGAGAAGGTCATATCCTTGTGGTCACTTTGATTTCCTGCCTTCAGCAAAGCTTTTTGTGCCCTTCTCCTCCCTGACTCTCTGCTTCCTTCAGGTTCCCTTCAAGCCCGACCAGTCTGAGGATTTCAGCAAGGGCATGAAGTCATTAGTCAAGAAAAACAGTCCTAAAGCATCTTCCAACAGTGGCCTGGGGACAGGAGCCTGGTTCTGTTTTGCTGCACAGTCCTTTCTTTCACTCTTCAGCCAAACTTCTAACAGCCCTGGGAGAGGAGTTAAACAATGAAGCAGCTGTGACATCTAGTGGCACTTGTGGCTATTTCAACTCAGACAAAAATACCCACTCTGAATATGACCATATGTATATTTGACAATCAAACCTTCATGCCCAACCTGCAATTTCCTCTATGATGGAGCTATGGGAAAAATAAAAATACTCATTTTGGTCAGTGGAGGTGTAGGGTTGGCCAGCCATCCATTGCTTTTCTGTCACAACTGGTGATGAAAGGTTTCCCAGAATACAAAAGTAGAAGAAAATGCTTTAAAGGAGGGATTTGAATGTTGTTCTGTGGGTTTTCACAAGTGCCAAAACAACTGTAGGAATGAATAGGAAAAAAATGATGGGGATGGGCTGATGGTTGAGCAGAAACTTCTGTTCTGTTGCTGCTGATGGCACCAACAAGGTCTCCCAGGGCACAAGAGCTGGGACAGCACATCTGTACTCAGCTGGCACATAGGACATGAATTTCCTCCCTAGCTGCATTCCATTTGGACAACAAAGGCTCATGTCCACTGACTAAGTATAGGTGCTTAGTGCTGTCTGGTATGCCTTATGGTACCTGAAGCACCTGCAGAAGGCTGGCTGGTTGAGTATAGGACTTAAGGAAAAACCAGGCCTTCCTAGAGTGGCAGGGAGAAGCTAAAAGGGTGCTGTGAGGTGGCTTGAGCTGCACTAGATGCCTGTCTGCAAACAGCTTAAATGCCCCCTGTGTTGTCTGCAACAATCTCATAAAACAGGTCAGCAGGAAATCCAGAAGAGGTGATACATGGATTCATGCATGGAAACGTGCATATGGGAAATGGGATGCTGTGTGTGCTGGGAATAAGTTAACTGTGGGAATGGAGAAGGTGAGTTTGGCAGGCGCTTTCTGTACCCATCTCAGGTTCATGGGAGAGACTGGTGTTTGATGCAGGTGGCAATTCTATCCTGGTGCTTCTGAGTGCCAGTGCTTGGAGCACAGTCTGTGTATATGCTATGGAAGTAATCATAGAATGATTTGGATTGGAAGAGACCTTTAAGAGCATTTAGTGCCAATCCCCTGCTATAGGCAGGGACACCTCCTTCTAGAATAGGTTGTTCACAGCTCTATCCAGCTTGGTCTTGAGTGCTTCCAGGGAGGGTACATTCACAACCTCACTGGGCAATCTGTTCCAGTGTCTCACCACCCTCACAATAAAAAATTCCTTCCTAATATCTAGTCTAAATCTATCCTCTTCCAAGTTTAAAATACCAGACATAGGCTCTGGAGTGTAGACAGGACACCCTGGAAAACACAGGTGTGGCTTTTCTAACCTTGGTGCTAGTAAATCCAGATGTTTAAGGGTGATTTATTTACACTGTACATTTTGTCAGATGATGGAAACAAAGCATTAGCATTGCCTTTTCTTATACATAAGAAGCTGTAGCTGGGAGGAATTGGCTGACTTCTTTGATGGCCCCAAGGAAGTGCACAGACCCAAGCTCCAAAGTCCCACAACTGTCCAACCAGAATGTAAGCAAAAGAAAGAAAAACATTTTACCATTAGTTTTAAGGGAGTATCAAAAGATGTTTAATTTTGTGCTTGCAGCGAATTCTTTTCATCTAAAGATCTAGGAAAGGCAAAATGTGAGCAGGCAGTGTGATTTTATCTTATGCTCCTGTTGGAGTCCCCAGGTAAGTAAACATTAACATGATACTCTATTCCTTTGGGTTGGTTTTTTTTTTTTTTTTTTCCCTATCTGAAGGTCGAGCCCTCTGTAGACATACTGGGCAGAAAGTTCTGTGTTTAACCTCGTGAAGATCTGCTTTCAAACAAGATCAAAGCCCAACTCTAAGTAAAAGAGCAAAAAGATGTTTTCACTGGGATTCGGCTATTTCTGGGTGTGTGATTTCCATCAGGTTCAGCTCCAAAATCTGTGTTGCTTTTAAAACAAGGTTGCACACTTACAAATGCATTAGGAAGACCCACCCCTTCTGCAGTGGCTGAAAAGCATTGTTCAGAGATTAAATTCCATGTTTTTTTTTTTCCAACCTTTTGGCTGCCCCACGCTGAGCCAGAACTCAGTCTGCCAGAGCGGTGCAGGGGAACTCCTGTCATTGCCACCTGAGTGCTGCTCACTGCTGTATTGTTTCTCCCTGGGTTGAAAAGATTCTTTCTACTTAGTTGATTGAATCAGTTAAATTAGTGTTGGTGGAACAGAGCGTTCTCTGCTAGGAACAAAGCCACTGCATTAAACCAACCCAAAACAGGCTTATTTCTTCTTATGTCCAAGTGAGTAGAGCTGGTTTCTGTCCCATGACACTTATATTAGGGGATAATGACTTGTGTCAACATGAGGGAACTGTGACTGTTCAGTTTGGAGAAGAGCGAGCTCAGGGGAGACCCTATGGCTCTGTTCAGCTCCCTGAGAGGAGACTGTAGTGAGCTGGGGATCCCAGGTAACCGTGATAGGACAAGAGGCAATGGCCTTAAGTTGTGCTGGAGGAGGTTTAGGTTGGATATTATGAAAAATATCAGAAAGAGTGGTAGTGCATTGGCACAGGCTGCCCAGAGGAGGGGAATCAACTCTTTGAAAGGGTTGATAACTGCAGGACGAGGGGAAATGATTTTAAGTTGAGGGAGGGGAGGTTTAGGTTGGATGTCAGGGGGAAATTCTTTACAGAGAGAGTGGTGAGGTGCTGAACAGCTGCCCAGAGGTTGTGGATGCCCCATCTCTGGAGGTGTTCAAGGCCAGATTGGATGGGGCTTTGGGCAGCCTGGTCCAGTATTAAATGTGGAGGTTGGTGGCCACATGCATGTGGCAGGGGGTTGGAGCTTCATGATCCTTGAGGTCCCTTCCAACCCTGGCCATTCTGTGATTCTGTGATTCAGAGGGGTCTTGGGGTCGCTGCCCCTGGAGGTGGCTCAGGAACTGTGTAGACGTGGGACTGCAGGACACATTTAGTGGGCGCGGTGGGGATGGGCTGGATTTGGACGTGGTGACCTCAGAGGAGCTCTCAGCGTTGTCCCCAGCAGCGGGCGGGCAGCCACGACTCACCGCTCACACAGGCGAGGCGCTGCGGAATACAGCCCCCACAATCCCCCACGGGGTCTTCCCGCCCCACATCTCCCTTCTGATTGGCTGACACCGCGCGGAGGACCTTCCCCTTGAGCCAATCGCAACGCGGGGCTGCCCGGCGCCGCGCCGGTGTGGGCAGTGCTCAGGCGCCGCGTAGGGCCGCCGTGGCGGTGTCATTGCGAGGGGACGATGTCTCACTGCAGCGCCGCGGCCGCCCGCCTCCTGGGCCGCTTCCTCCGCCGTGAGTACCGGCCCACGTCCCTCAACGGCGCTCCGGGGCCTTCCCCGCTGCTTGGCAACCGGCTCCCCCCGCGGCCGCCGCTCCGGGGTAGGCCTCGGGGCCGGCGCTGAGGGGGAGCCCGGCCGCCTCCTCCTCTTCCTCCTCCTCTTCCCGCCGCCTCGCAAGGTCACCCGGGGAGGGGAGAGCGGGGCTGGGCTTGGGCAGCGCTCTGAGGAGAAGCCGCGTCCCGGGGACCTGAGGTTCCTCAGGATGGAGAAGCCGCTGGGTTCTGGGGTGGTTTCTTCTGTGGTGTGACCGTGGTGGAGAGGAGCCAAGTCGGGCTTTTTGGGGGCGGCGAGGAGAGCTGGAGTCTTAGTGATACGTTGTCCCTTTTGGAAAGGGCCAACACGAGGACAGCCTGCGGGAGCTGCATTAGTTCAGCCTGGGAAAAAGAAGGCTGCGGGGTGACCTCATTGCAGCATTTCAATACCTAAATGGAGCCTACAAACAGGAGGGGAATCAACTCTTTGAAAGGGTAGATAACTGCAGGACGAGGGGAAATGGTTTGAAGTTGAGGGAGGGGAGATTTAGGTTGGATGTGAAGGGGAAGTTCTTCACAGAGGGAGTGGTGAGGTGCTGGTACAGGCTGCCCGGCGAGGTTGTGGATGCTCCATCCCTGGAGTTGTTCAAGGCCAGATTGGATGGGGCCCTGCGCAGCCTGGTCTGGTATTAAATGGGGAGGTTGGTGGCCCTGCATGGGGGGGTTGGAGCTTCATGATCCTTGAGGTCCCTTCCAACCCTGGCCATTCTGTGATCCTGTGAACACGGATTGTGGAGCCCAGCTGCTGGTTCCACACAGGGCCACCCAAAACTCAAACCCTTATGTATTCACTGGGAGACCATGAGCAATCTGAGGCTAAATTTTCAGCTTGAAAGCCTTTATATTCATTGCTTTGAAGATCATGGTAAATAAATAATTTAAAAAAAAAAAAACAAAAACAACTTTATTTTTCTTTCTTGGTGCTTCTTTTGGGCAGTTAATGCTGCATCCTCTACTGGAATCAGTATGGACATGTCGAAGCACAAGAGTTGTTTCTTGGAAGCTGAGGTGTTGATGTGTTAACCTTGCATCTTGCAGCTGGCAACAAATGGACAAAATTAAGCTTAATTGTTTTCAGTGGAACTCCTTGCAAGCAAAGCTTTATGCTTCAAATATCCCCATCCCTGGAGTCATTGAAGGCCAGGCTGGATGTGGCTCTGGCAGCCTGGTCTGGTGGTTGGCGACCCTGCACATAGCAGGGGGTTGAAACTAGATGATCATTGTGGTCCTTTTCAACCCAAGCCATTCTATGATTAACTTGTAGGTCAGGGACTCATAATGTGATTCTGTGGTGCTTTAGGCTGTGGTGCTGTGGCACACCCGCCCTCCCCAGGTGTCCTTTCCTGCTTCATGTTCCCCATAAGCACCAGGAAAGCTGTGTTGCCTCAGCACAGTGTCACTGTCTGTCAGTCGAACTCTTTGAACTCGCTTCTGTGAGTCCAAGAGAATTGTTTCTTTTGGTGGATGGGCGTGTAGCATGTCTGGTGTTGGTTAATTTGTACTTCAGCAAAGCTAATTTTTTACAGATTTTTACATCTTTAAAACCCCACTTCATTCCCTTTACAAACAGCAGTAAAGCAGATTGAAGGAAGAATGTTTAAGGTTCTTTTTGGGTAGTAAGGGGAGAGGTGGACTGAGTGGTTCAAGAGGTGTTCTGCTTGAAAATGTTTATAACCTCTTTTAAAGAAACTTCTGGGAGATCAAATATTCCTTCATTGAAACATTTTTCTGGTTCATTGCTCTTAGTTAAATGTTAAAAGTCTGCTGGAACCTTAAATTTGGGATGTTAGATTTTGGGTGTTATTGAAGGCTTTGGAAAGCTCTTAGATTAAATAATGGAAGTAGATTATGGGCACAGCTCTGGCAAAGATTGTAGAAGTAGTTATACAAACTGGAGGATTTGTTGTTTCAGTGTGAGCAGCACTGGAAAGGGGGCCCCAGCCCTTCACCTGCATGCATTGTTAGTGAAGTATATATGGGAAAAAGTTCATCATCTTGGAAGAACAGTGCCTATTTTCTCCTTAAAATTCTCCTTAGATTTGGAAGGAAGCTTCTCCCTTTGTGACTCCATGGCCCAGTGCAGCCAGTATTGTTCTTTGCAATGGGTGGGGATTTTAGGGAACAGAGAAGTGTTGAAAGAAGTAGAAATTCTTTTAAATGTTGCTTTCCCACTAGTCCTACTTCTGTGTAATGTGGTGGGTGTAGCATAGTCATTACATCTTTGTCCTTTTATAGACTGGTTAACTTCTTAAACTCTTATGCTGTGTTCATAGATGGGGATTTCCATAATTAACAGGAATTTGGCAAGAGAAGAGTGAGGGAAGTGTAGCTAAGGAGCAGTAGCTAGAAATCCTGTCCTGAGCACATAATTCTCTTTCAGACAAGGAAAAAGATATTCTGAGCAATTCCTTGATTATGTGGGATCTCCTTGGTCAGAAACAATCATCTTGTACAAGTGCAGTCGATACCTTGAATGCTGAATTCTGCAGACTGATTTGAGAGAAGATGGATAATTGTTCCAAATATGCACGTGTGAATATGGCCTAATAATGATGGTCTAAACTTAAGGAAGGACTGGGATGAGAAATTGTGCCAAATCTCAAACTTCCAGTCAGTGAGTTTGGAAATTTCGCTGCAGCGCTTTGTCTTCACTCAACTTGTTTTTTTTCCCCCATGTATATTCTGTGTTGTAAGAAGCTATCCAGAACTGCTGCTGTTCTGTCCTCTTCCAGCAGAAAAAACTGGTGTTTCCACTGGTGCTCTTTGGACTTGACTCCTTTCCCTGACTTTGCCCTGAAGTCCATTCTTCCCATTTGTACTGGAGGCCACACATTTTTTTAAGGCTTTCTTCTTGTCTTACATAGGAAATAGAAAGTAAAAGGAATATCTCCCTTCATCTCTAAGCTCCCAGGGCATTTCGAGAAGTGATAGAGGGAGAATTTCATTTACTACTTGTCAGTCTCCTGGCAATGGAGCTACCTGCTCAGGTCCTTCTGGAAAGGAATCTTTGTTTCTTTCCCTTGCTTTCATGTTGTGCTATTCCGTGAGCACCTTTGGATCCTTTCTTGCCTTCCAAACTTCTTTTTTTTTTGGTCCAGGATAAATGTGGGCAAGAGAGAAGCACTCTGATTTGGATTCCTGTCTGTAGCTTTAGGGAATCTTGTGAGAAGTCCTGAAAATAACAAGTTTCTGACTCCATGAAGTTTGAGTTGGGAAGAGATTGAGCCCTGGCATCTGTACTGCTGGGTTAGGCTGTACAAAGGTAACTTGGGCTATATTGCTTTAAATCAGATCTATTTGTTTTCCTTAAATACAAATGCAAACTATGAAAAACCAAAAATGATGTGGCAGAAGCAAAAGAGATTGCCTGAGGAAGGTTACCTCGCACTGTGTTCTGCTTTTCTGAAGGTGCATTACAGGCCTTTGTTGAGCACAGTGATATTAGAGTTAGACCTCTGATTTGACAAAATACAGCATTTCCACTGTGCTTCTGATTGGATCTGGGTTTACTAAGACTTGTCCTTGTGCTCTGTGGCTTGACACAAAGCCTGCACTGTCGCAGTTTGGCCTGTAAGTTAGAGCTGTACATTAAAATAGTGTCAGCAGTGAGGTTGGCTTTTAGTGGCTTGTTGCTGAAGCTTTGCAAGCAGAAGAGCAAATAATTTCTTGTCCTGTCTTCCCAGCAGTTGGAAGCTGTGAAACAAGATGAGCTGGTGAATGAAAGTCTAGCTGGAAATCGAGACTTGGGTTCTATTTCTGACTCTTACCTGCTGTGAACTTGGGCGTGCCATTTCCATTTCCACCTGTTTCCTTCTCATCTTGTGTCTGTTAAATCTCCAGCTGTTTGCACCCAGGACTTGCAGCCTGTGCCATGTACAGCAAAACTTCCTCTCCAGCTGTACTTTTGCTGCTCTTACTGTGCTGATGGCCAGGGAGAAAGTTTTCTATTTCAGATGAGATCACAGTGGGAAATAGAGAGGTGTATCATGCCAGCTATAAAGGATAATGAAAATCTCTCAACCTAATCCAGCCCAGAAAGCACAAAGTGATTTTTTCTTCTTCTTTTCTTTCAAAACATATTGCTCTGCAGACACGTGTATATGCTGAGCTACCTCTACCAGAAGTCATAGAATCATAGAATGTGCTGGGTTGAAAAGGACCACAATGATCACCTAGTTTCAACCCCCTGCTATGCGCAGGGTCGCCAACCACCAGACCAGGCTGCCCAGAGCCACATCCAGCCTGGCCTTCAATGCCTCCAGGGATGGGGCATCCACAACCTCCTTGGGCAACCTGTTCCAGTGCTTCACCACCTCTGTGTGAAAAACTTCCTTCTAATATCTATCCTAAACCCCCTGTCTCAGTTTAAAACCATTCTCCCTGTCCTACCGCTGTCCAAACCTAGTCAGCAAACTGCTCACACCTATAGCCAGGTTTTTCTAAGCCAGCTGTATTTTCTCTAAACCAAGGTTACTTTGTCATTTATGAGGCGTTTTCAAGACTAAATCCATAAAAAGTTTTGGAATTTAAGCAGTTTTTCAGTTATCAGTGCAGAAGAATAAATATTTTCCAAGCTATCAAAGTGTGAAAAAGAAAAGACTTGAAAGCTGCTTATCCTTGAAAAATATATCCATGTATATGTCTGAAAGCTGAGAATTGGTCAACTTAAGGTTTTGAAAACATTTTTGTGACAGGCTGTAAATATCTGAAAATAGATATGGGACGGACAGCTGAACTGGGACTGTAGAAGTGCTTTTATGGTATGGAGAAAGAAGGCCCTGCTAACAGTCACCTCATTCCTGCATCAGCAGTTTATAATGAAAAATATTCTGTGTAATAGCTTTTGCTTGCTTTCTGGAAACCTGGGATTTTAGGTCTCCTTTATCACTTTGCAGAAATTTTTTGAGGATGGGGATGTATTCATTTGTGAATGAAAGCAATGGATAAGATGCTGGCATCTATTGTTCATCCTGACTGGGGTTCTGATGTTCAGTATGGTGTATGTGCATGGTCTGACCCTCAGCAAACTGGGTAAATTACAGATGTGCAATATCTTAGAAAAACAAGTCATTACCACTTAAGAACTTCCAAAGCTGCTTTTAAAAACGTGAACAATTGGATCAATTCATCTTAAAAAAGGAGTGGCCAGCAGGGAGAGGGAGGTGATCATCCCCTCTACTCAGCTCTTGTGAGGCCCCGTCTGCAGCACTGCGTCCAGGCCTGGGGCCCCCAGTACAAGAAGGACATGGAGCTCTTGGAGCGGGTCCAGAGGAGGGCTCTAAGATGATCAGAGGGCTGGAGCAGCTCTCCTATGAGGAAAGGTTGAGGGAACTGCAATTGTTTAGCTTGCAGAAGAGAAGACTCCAGGGAGACCTCATTGTGGCCTTCCTGTACTTGAAGGGAGCGTATAAACAGGAGGGGGAACGGCTGTTTATGAGGGTGAGTAGTAATAGAACAAGGAGAACGGTTGTAAACTGAGACAGGGGAGGTTTAGGTTAGATATTAGGAGGAAGTTTTTCACCCAGAGGTGGTGAGGCACTGGAACAGGTTGCCCAAGGAGGTTGTGGATGCCCCATCCCTGCAGGCATTGAAGGCCAGGCTGGATGTGGCTCTGGGCAGCCTGGTCTGGTGGTTGGTGACCCTGCATATAGCAGGGGGGTTGAAACTGGATGATCATTGTGGTCCTTTTCAACCCAGCCCATTCTATGATTTTATGAAAACATAAATGTGTATGTACTTATTTGATAGGACATTTTTTAATGTGGAGCATAACAAGGCAGTGGATTAATGGTTTGCTTTCTCTTTTTCTGCCTTTCTCTAGTGCACCAGAATGGAGTACGGCACTGCTCTTACTCAGCATCAAGGAAAAATCTGTATATTAACAAAAACACAAAGGTTATTTGTCAGGGTTTTACAGGCAAGCAGGTACGTGTATGAGCAATACTTCTTCTGTCACCCTTCCGGTGCAGAAAGTTATCTGGCCATAAAATATAGTAATGCATAGGAGAGATTATAGTTTGTTCTTTGTTGATAAGAAGCACAACTTTGTGGTTGAGGAGATCCCTTTGGCTGTGTAGTTTTCTACTGTTCTGTCCAAATAGCTTTTTTCTTAATATCAATAAACTATAGATTTTTGTTTTTCAGTGTGCAAACTTAAAACTTTGTTTTTGAGTCAACTGTGTTCTGATTCCTGACTTTATTTTATTTTTCATTTTTATTTTTGTAGCTGGCTTTGCTCTTAAGCCTTAAGCTCTTTACAGCTGAAAGGGCTTCTTTGTAAAGGGAGACTTGCTCCTTTTACGAGCTTTAAAAGCTACGTTTGTAAAACCTTACAGTTTTGAAAGTGCATCTTTCACAAATGCCTTTGAACACCGCTGCCTACAGAAAAAAAGATTGTTTTAATTCCAATCTCACATTCACTCTTTTACACATTTACAAGGGGAGAAGACTCCTTTTTGCTAAATCTGTCATCTGGTCATGGATGAGAATGGTAATTTCTTTGAATTTATCATCTGCCATAATTGATGTGGAAAATAAAACATGGCTGCTATGTCTACAGGTGTATCGGCAACACAGGACAAACTGTTCTTTAGTGTGCCTCAATTTAAAAGAAAAAAAACCAAACTGATAGCATATTCTGAATTGATTTAAAACAAGTTGATGTATTCTTCAAAATAGCCGATTATTTATTTGAAGTGAAATCACCTCTTCTCATTGTAAATTGAAGTGTCATAAATTGTCTTCAGAATTATAGATGTCATCAGAGCTTTTTTTTCACATTTGATTTGTTGTTATATGCATTTTAACTTTATTCTTTTTCTCTCTTAGGGCACCTTTCACAGCCAACAGGCATTGGAGTACGGCACCAATCTAGTTGGAGGAGTTTCTCCAGGGAAAGGTGGAAAAACACATCTGGGTCTGCCTGTGTTTAATTCTGTGAAGGAGGTAATTTGTAGCAGTGACTTAAGGAGCAGACAGTTCAATCCAAGAACTAATGCTGCTCAATGCTTCCATTCCTCATAGTGAAGAGACAAATTTGAACCTTGGATGTCACTATGCAAGCAAGGAAATAGAAGCCTTGTAAGAGAGGCTTTCCGTGTGGTCAAGCATGAGTCTGCCTTCCACTCTGATCTTCACACTCAGCAATGCAAATATCTTTTCTTTGCAGTAGGCTTACATTTTATGCCTGTAGCTGTTTTCTGATTGATTTTGGTTTGTATGATGAAATTGTGGCCAACTATTAACTAACTGTTTTTAGGGGAAGTCTTTTACAAATAGTGCTTAGGTTTCAGTTCCCTGGTTGTGCTCTGTATGTCTGTCTTCAGTGAATTTAACACTTGCATGTTTCTGGTAAACTGGTATATATCTATTTATTTCATTTTTGCCTGTAGTGGACATACTTTAAGTGACTAGTAATCAGATGCTCTCTTTGGGCTCATTAAATGCTTGATACCTTTTTTATTATTGTCCTTATAGGCCAAAGAACAGACTGGTGCTTCTGCCACGGTTATATATGTACCTCCTCCATTTGCTGCTGCTGCGATCAATGAAGCAATCGATGCAGAAATGCCCCTGGTTGTTTGCATTACTGAAGGGATTCCCCAGCAGGACATGGTTCGGGTTAAACACAGACTGCTTCGCCAGAATAATACTCGACTTGTAGGCCCAAACTGCCCTGGTGTCATCAATGTAAGTGAATTCTGAATTTGCTCCAAGGCTGAACCATTCTTAGTGATAGTTTGAATGTTTGACTTGTCTTCTCCCATTCTTTCTTTAGCCTGGAGAGTGTAAAATCGGTATCATGCCTGGTCACATTCACAAAAAAGGAAGAATTGGTGAGTTTTTGAATATCTATGCATCATCTAAAAGTCAAGTTTGGTACTCTAGTATTCTTATCCACAGGGCTAATCTCATCCTACCTATCAGACACTTATTATGCTGTGTAACACTTTGTCTGTCCTTCAGTTCGTAAGTTAGCTGTCTCATAAATTCTGAAGGCCAAAGACTTAATGTGATAGAGTTCGTTTCCTTTACACTATTATTTGAGCGTACTTCCAAGAGAAGAGTTTACAAAGAACTTTCTAACCTGAGAATTCAGGCAGTAGTACCACGGTGAGTGGAATTGACAAGCACACCCACTTCTCAGACAGGGGAGCTGAGATCAGAGAGGCAGTGAATTGTTCATAACCAGATATTAGTTACAAACCCTTTAGCATGCAAGTGTTGTGTGCTGATTTCTTTTGGTTCCTTGTCCTAAACTATAGAAATGAGAATAGATTGTAACTCCTGCATTGCATTATTTAAAAGGTGCTCCAAAACATACATTGCTACTTTAATAAATAGAGCTTCAGAAACATTGCAAGCAGCATACACTGCCATTATCTGTCAGGGAGGTATTTTGTTTAACTTGAACACAGCGCCCTTAATGTTTGTAATTTTTCTGGTGAAAAATGTGTTTGCTGTGGGGAAGGCTGTTCAGTGTACTGGAACTAACTGTACTCAGGGCAGTTTTTTAAACACAGAATCATAGAATGGCCTGGGTTGAAAAGGACCACAATGATCATCTAGTTTCAACCCCTGTGCTGTGTGCAGGGTCACCAACCACTAGTTTGACCACTTCTGACAGTGCAATAAGCTGTACCTGGTGAATGCTGGAATGGAGGAAGTATTAACACTTGTGTCAAACTGGAAATTGAAAAATCAGAGCACTGCAATTATTTCTCTTCTAGATAACATCAAGCCATTGCTCTATGACTGTAACAGTAACAATTGATATTGTCATTCAGGCTTTCTTCTGAATCAGAGTTCTCACTCAAGATCTTGAGTGTCTGCTGAAGTCACAGGACCATGGAATCTGAATGAATGAATCTTTTGCACATCAAGTGCAAAAGGATGTTTTAAATCCTGATGTCCTACTAATGCTAGAAACATTTTTGATAGTGATCCACGAGCCAGGGAATAAAGATGTGAACTTTGCTACCTTCCCAACTTCATTTAACTCTCACATTTGGTGGAATGCTCCTCAGCCTTCTCTTGCTCTGAGGCAACCAAGAATCATTTGGTAAATCTTGGGGTGTGAGTTTTAAAAATAGCCTCAGTTTTTGGTCTGTATTATTCTTTCAGGGAATCTGAAACATAGGAAGTTCTTTGTGGGCTGTAGTTAGAAATAAACACACTTCTTTGCTGGTAGATATCTGCACTTTTCTATGGTATAAACAGTAGACAAATCTAAATGTTTGTCTAATGGTGTATTTTGCCCTCTGTTTCTGGAATATACTAATTACATTGCTTGTTAAATGACTTGAAATAGATGAAAGATAATGTCTGTTTTTTGGGGAAAAACTTCCTTCTTGTAGTGTTAACAAAAATCTTGACTTTAAAAAATGGATAAAAGGCTTGCAAGTATTTTGTCCCCAACCTACGATTTAGTGCTTAACTTTGGCTGAAGAAAATGTAGTTAGGTCTGGCTGGGATTGTGGTCTCTTACTGTAATACTGTAATATAAATGTTAAATATGTATTGAAGAACAACTTAGTTTTGGGTTGGAAGGGACATCAAAGATCATGATGCTCCAACCTCCACACCTCCCCTGCCCCCTCCCCCCACATGCAGGGCCACCAATCTCCACATTTAATATTAGACCAGGCTGCCCAGGGCCCCATCCTGGAACACCTCCAGGGATGGGGCATCCACAGCCTCTATGGGCAGCCTGTTCCAGCACCTCACCACTCTCTCTGTGAAGAAATTCCCCCTGACATCCAACCTAAGTCTTCCCTCCTTCAACTTAAAACAATTTCCCCCTGTCTTGCTATTATCTACCTTTCAATGTGGTGTCTTTGGGTTCTGGAAGAACCTAATTGAGTTGCAACCCTGTTTTGAGTTCAAGATATAAGCTATTTTTGTACAAGACAAGGTATATATTCTATTTTGTTTCCAACTTTCTTTCCTGATAAAGTGGTAGTGTGAAGAATGCCATCTCAGCCAACGTAACTGCTTTGCTGGGCAGCTTTAATCTCTTCACAATTAAGTGTCAAAAATGCCAACCAAGAAATAGTACAAATGTAATCTTATATAGAGTTTTCATGTTTTGGTAGTGATAGCTGGAAAACCTGACATCTTGTGTTCAGTTCAGTAAGGTGATTTTGTTGAATTTAAGAACAGCTACCTCTAGTCATGCACTCAGTGTCAAGTTTATCTCCCTTTGTTCCCAAAGGTATCGTGTCAAGATCTGGAACCCTGACCTATGAAGCTGTTCATCAGACAACGCAAGTTGGATTGGGGCAGTCCTTCTGTGTTGGTAGGTTTCCTCAGAAGCAGCCTGTAGACTCGCTGGCTTTTTCTTCACAGGAACACATCCAAAATAGTTTCATTCTGCAAGCCTAGAAATTGTTGAGTGGCTTATCATTATGCTGAGAAATGAGATCTCTATCTGTTGTGAAGATATAATCCTTTTCTGTTACCATTTCCACATCAGATTAATAAAAGCCTAGAAAACATCTTTGAGCAGAGAGCAGCCAACAAACATGGCATCAGTTTAGAAACAAATTTCTGAGAAGTTTAGTGTTAATGTAAATGGATACAGCATTCTTAGGCATTTAGTTGGGTATTCTGAACAAGTTGGCTCATTAACTTTTTTTTTTTTTAACAGTAAAATTCTGTTGCTGGAGTCTTAACTTTGCTGTATCTTGTGTGGAGTCTTTGTATAGGATGTGGTGTTTGGCTTATGGTTTGGAAGATGATAGTTCACAGATGTTTCACTTTGGATAGCAAGCTCTTTGTGAAACTGTGGAGGAGAGATTTAGAGCAGATTCTTTGGCACTCCAAGAGCTGTCTGTCTTATGAGTTTTTGGAAATAACCTTCATGTTGAAATTTACTTTGAAACTGTTAATGTAAATGCAGTGTCATTATCTTGAGTTATTTTTTTAATGCAATTTTACATTTTTTTTCCAGGGATTGGAGGTGATCCTTTCAATGGAACTAATTTTATTGACTGTCTTGATGTCTTCCTGAAAGATCCTCATACTGAGGGGATCATATTGATTGGGGAAATTGGAGGAAATGCTGAAGAAGATGCAGCAGCTTTCTTGAAGGAAAATAATTCTGTAAGTTTTGAAGAGCTTACCTTCAAATATGTTGCTGGTTTGCCCTTTTCTGCCATGTCAAGAAAGCCTAGTTCAATTTCTAACTACTGACAAAAGAGCAAAAGATACACGCTATCGTACTTTGATATAAGAGAAATTTAACATGATTAAAGCTTCCAGTTTCAGCTTAACTGCAGAGCATCAGCTCTAGATTTTTAATTCTGTTATGATATTTGTAGGGAACATTTTACTTTTTTTTATAAAGTATTTTGTAAAGTATTGGTCTTTATCAGGAGGTGAAGTATTCCACACTCCTGGCTAATGGTTCCATGTGGTCTGAGATTTCCAGCTCTTTGATGTATCAGCTAGCCAGGCAAAGATGTATTATTTGAAATCTGTTACCTAGAATTGCCTTTCATTCACCCTTCACCATGTAACTCAGTGTCTTTTCTTTATTGACAGGGTCCAAATGCCAAGCCAGTAGTGTCATTCATTGCTGGTCTCACTGCTCCTCCAGGCAGACGGATGGGTCATGCTGGAGCAATCATTGCTGGTGGAAAGGGTGGAGCTAAAGAGAAGATAGCTGCTCTTCAGAGCGCTGGTGTCATTGTCAGCATGTCCCCTGCTCAGTTAGGCAGCACCATCTACAAGGTTTGTTATTGGAAATTGGTGTATGTGTGCACTCACACTAAGCAAGAGTCTACTTTTGAGGGAATAAGAGTTGGCAGTGCATATCATACCCAAATATTCTGTTGCTCAAAGCTTGGTTAAGCACAGCAAGTCTATTTAGTGAACAAGCTGTAGTTATGACTTAGATGATATGCAGAAGTAGTTATATGTAATATTTCCTTTATAGGAAAGTGAACAGCAAAAATACAGAAGTGATTATATTTTGCTGTGGAGTACAACTACTTGCTGAATTGTGTTTTCTGGGTTCTATCAGAGGAAGCAAAGAACCCAAATTAATTTAAAACAATGAAACAGTCTTTGAAAGTGCAGTAATATGGCATATAGAAATGTCTGTTAAGTACTAATTCAGAATCAGAGTTGAATGCATACAACTGAAAAACTCCTGTATGCTCTTACAGAGAATTAGTGTTTTTCAAGCTAGTTTATGCTGTGTCTGGGAGCAAGTGGTTACTTGGTATCATTGCAGTCTAGCTCAATTGCTTTTCATAGCCAGTGAGTTATTGTGAGGTGAGAGAATATTTGCAGATATTAAGTATTTTTTCATTTAGTTTTTAATTCCAGTTTTTAATTCCTAAAATTAGATTTAAGATAAATACAAAGTAATTTAAAATATAATAGTAATAAAAGTCTTTTTTTTCTTCTTCTATCTGAAATGTCTGTTTGCTATTTGCAGGAGTTTGAGAAAAGGAAATTGCTGTAAGAGAAGATACTTTGGAATACTGTCTCCAAAACATCAGTGCAGCACCTGACCTCTGCTTATCTTCTGTTTGCTAATCTTCAGTTGCCCAAATGACTGACACTGGTCATGGAGTTTGACTTGGAAGCCATAAACCTTTTGGCTAAACCTGTTTTGATGTCTCCTCGTTTCAGACGTGATCACTGCACTGTAAATCACAGCAAATTAATAAATCTACTACTAAACCTGATTCATCTTCTTGAATTCCTGAAGCAGAACCGTTTCTTCAGCCATCATAAAGAAACTAATCAGCCTTGAATCTTTTGTAACTTAAGCACTGCCCAGTTTAAGGTAAAGTCGCTTATAGAGATGCTTTTAAAGGTCAAGGCACTGACTTTTTATGCACATAAGACAGTTTGCTTTATTTTTAAAGATCTTTTACTTGTTTGTTGCTGACAAGTATGTTTCAACAATAGGCCAAAGTTTCCGTCCGCTAAACCAAAGCTGCTGGATCTGAAGGGGTTGCTTGTTGATCCATGTAGCTGGGTATGACTCCAGTCCAGACTTTTCAAGGCTGAGCTGTGCACAGTGTAGTCCTCTACTGACACATAACTCTGTTGTATGGAGAGGTGGAATTTTTATTCAGAAAAATGAGTCTAATTTCCCATGCGAATATGTATATTCACAGTTGTAACTATGAAAATGGTTTGTTCTTTGGCTTACATTACCTTGCTTTCCTCTTTAACCTGAGCTAGGATTGCATTGTTTGCGTGTTCTGAAATCCCAGTAATGCTGGGACACATTGGACAAGATTGAGTAATCTCTGAAAAAGAATGTAGTAAGTTATCTTACTTGTTAACCACTCCAAGCACTGTAATGGAAAGCCCTTTTTTACTTTGGAGATAGCCCAAACACAGTGCCTATAAATTAGTGTTGTAAGCTTTATCAGGATGGGCTAAACCCAAGATTGCTTTCTTTATATAAAAATCCCTGTAACCTGGCACTTGTCTAAAGCTAACCTTGTGTTCCATAAAGGTGCTGTTACAAAAGCTTGTCTTGTTATTTGTTTAAAACTGTGAGCTTTCTTTCTCAAGCGCCTGTGCAATTTTGCTTCCTAATGCAAGCAGTGACCATATATCTCAAAGCTGACATTTACAGTCCTGAGAGCTAAGCCCTGAGGAAATGTGTAAAAGGACAGATCGTATATCTGCTGTTCTGGATGTGTATTAGTGCACTTCACATGCGGTCAGAATTGGTCAGATGATGGGGGTCCATAGGATGCAGAAGTTAGCTGCTGTAAAACATTGGCATGATTTGCTAAAATGGACCTGACATCAAGTCACTAAACAGCTGGGAGCAACACTGAACAGTAAATCATTTGATAAAACCTGTGAAAGCAGGTAGGAATTGAATACCAGATCTGCTCTTGTTTTCAAGTAGTGCCTGATTTAGTCTGAAGCAAAAAAGACAAATCACTGCCCTTTAGCTCAAGAGATATCAGTACTAAAATGTCTCCATCTGTGAAAGAGTGCAGTTCTTCACCAGTGAATGTCAGGATATTGCAGCCTGTCGTCTTATGATCCTGCATCAAAGTTGACTCATTGTAATGATGGGCTTCTCCACAACAGCTTTAGGAATGGGTAATGCTTCTTGATAAAACCATCTGAACTTCATAGAATCGCAGAATGGTTTGGGTTGGAAGGGACCTCAAGGATCATGAATCTCCAACCCTCCAGCTGCAGGCAGGGCCACCAACCTCCATATTTAATACTAGACCAGGCTGCCCAGGGCCCCATCCAACCTGGCCTTGAACATCTCCAGGAATGGAGCATCCACAACCTTTCTGGGCAGCCTGTTCCAGCACTTTGCTTTCATCACTGCCCTGGTGTTACAGTAAATGACCTTCCAGGACAACTGAAGTGTAGTAAGTTTCCTGCTAAGGATTGCTCAATGGAAGCTATTTTAGAGGCACCAGCAATTTTATAAGTTAGCCATAAACTCCAGTGACTATTTTACTCTGAGGAGGCATTCCTCGTATGTTGGTATTTGAGGGAGGGTTTAAAAGTGTGACCCTGATTCTAATGCTCACAGCAGATATTCAGGGCTGCACCTTAGCAGCTGCTTGGTTCTGTACAAGACAGGGGAAGCAGTCTGTGCCAGTGTGGAGCAGAGGATCATCTGAAGATGGAGAAGAAATCTGACTGTGATAGAAAGGCTTAATATTTTCAGTTTTCTCTTGCTGCCTAAAAATGCATACTTGTAAAAGGCTGATGATGTTTGTCATTGATAATGACAGTGAAAAATAGATTCACATCCGTTTCATACCATATGTGCTTGTGAATAAATATTTCAAGTAATCTGAACTGGAAAATTGTTCTGGTTTCTTTTTTTTAAAAAGGAAAAAGTTAAGTTAGTGTTGGGCCTTAACCTCTGACCACTTTATAGCTCAATAAATGGGTTTTAGGTGCAAGAGAAGCATGTCTGAGGTTGCTGTTCAAATTCTCATTAGATTTTAAGAAATAATCCTCCCTTCTCCACCCCTCATTCTCCTTGATATAGGCTGTCCATAAATATATATATATATACTGTTGTTTGAAATTAATTGAGATCTGCCACTGATCTTTCTTCTGTGGTTTTGTTGTTGTCCAGAATTAATATTTTATGTAATATTTTCAGACAAGACAGTGTTACTCTTTTTATACATAAAAGGATGCTTGCTAGATTCTAGCAAATGGATATTTATAACTCAATTTATTGAAACTCACTAACAAAACAAAACATTTATGTCTATTCTTTTGGTTAAATAAGATCTCTGTGCATGGAGCCAGAGAAGGGAGGAGAGGCTCCTGAAAGATGAATGCTGAAGTGTCAAGACGTTCTTAAAACCATATGGCATTATTGAGAAAATGACAGTGATTTTCTCAACAGCTGTTGTAGTTTCTGAGGTTTGCCCCAATCCTTTACCCTTTTGTGATATATGTTTTATCCTCTCGTATTCCTGTTTCCTCTGACACAGTGCTAATTAGAATTGGATGGATGCTGCATTGAGATGGTGTAGGTGATTTTAGTTGAACTGAAGATGCAGTTTAATTCTTTGTGGATCGAATGGCAGATTTAAAGTCTTAAGGTGAGGAGGGAGCACTCACTAATGGGCCTCACCAGTGACGAGTGGGTTAGAGGTTGCACTCTGGCAGAAGGCCACTAATTAGGTGGTCTGAAAGTAGTTAAAAAATGTCCTTTGGCCTGGGGCAGCGACTGACCCTGACACTGGTCCCTGCAGAGCTGGTGGCTGGGTGCCCTGATAGGCATATCAAAATAATAGACTGGGAAATGTTGGGATCTGAGCACTGAGGCACAGTATTGTGCTTTCAAGAACAACCACAGGAACCGGTTTCTGATTCCCAACTAATAAGCTCTTAACTGTGCTGAAACTGGAATGAAGCATCGCCTGCCACTTCTTGCTTGTCAAGATTAGATTAAAGGCTTTTCTTAAGAAGGACTCTCTGCAAGTCTGATCACACGGGCAGGAAGCTGCTGGCTGCTTCTTGAGGTGGTGATGGGGAGCCCTGTGCTGTTGTGGCCACCTGGCAGCAGGCTGTGCCTCCTGGGACAGGGCTGAGGATGCTGTATGGTGATGGGGAGGGTTTTAGAATCATGGAATCATCAAATCATTAAGGTTGGAAAAGACCTTTTAGATCACCAAGTCCAACCCCAGCCCATCCCCACCATTACCACTAACCCACGTCCCTCAGTGCCACATCTCCATGGTTCTTGAACACCTCCAGAGATGGTGACTCCATCACCTCCCTGCCAATGCATTTCTGCTTTTTCAGGAACTATTCCTAACATCCAATCTGGCCCCCCCGGCACAACTTTAGGCCGTTACTTCCCATCCCACCAACCAGGAGAAGAGGAAGACCATCTCTCTTCAGCCTCCCATCAATCCACCGCTGCTCGTAGCATCCCAAACTGATGATTAAAAGCCAACTGCTTTCTGCAGTAGCGATGTGATCTCAGAAAGAATTACATGAATCAGCCTGTTTATACGAACTACAAATTCAGGAAGCTGAAGGGAAAAAAAGCTTTCCTGTCCCATAATCACTGAACTGTGTGAGGCAGTGTTTGTGCTGAGAGTAGACGCGATAGCCTGCAATGGTGTCTGTGCTGTGCAGATACATAATTAAAGGTCTCTTAAAATCTGTTTTGTTGCTGTAAAAGACAGCGCAGTGAATTTATAGTTTCTAACACATCTGTAATGCTATGAGATGGCTGCTTAAAACAAACAAACAACAAACAAACCAAAAACCAAAACATCCACAACAACCCACCAACCTGTTTCCATTCGTTTTGCTCTCTAGGTGGCAGTTCTGACACTGAAACAGTTCCGAGTTTCCTCTCTTAACTTGAGGACTGAAGCTGGGCTGGAGAAATAGAAGATGAAAACAAAAACAGCGCTACTTTATTCTTTCTGGATGTTGTATTGATTTATGATCATATCCCTTTATCTGAGTTGGGGAGAGGTGGTAGAGAGCCCAGCTGGTTTTCCTCCCTGTGATCTCAGCCTGCCAACAATGCTGCCATTTCTTGATGTTTTTCAGTCTGGTATGAGTAATGTTGTCTGAACTGCGTGGCTTTGGCAGTCAGATGGGACATGCCTTAGAGAAATACTGATCTTCATTCTGATGTGGACAAGAAATGTCTTAGGCTGTTTCTTCAAGAGCTTACCTGTTCTATTTGCTGTTGTTGTTGCTTTTATTCTGTTGCCCAAGGCTGGAGGGCTGACGAGGAGGAGCACAGGTAGCGATGTTAGGGAGGAGAGAAACGAATTGTCACGTATGAAAGATTTTATATGTATATTTTTCATTCTCAACAACAAAAGCAGAAGCAGAAACTCAACCTGCTTCTCAGTGCACAATAAACTAAGCTATGAAATAGTCACCCTCTGCTGACTCTCTAGAGGACAGCAGAAGGAGATGAGGCTCCTTGGAAGAAAAGCATCTTCTATAGTCACATACAGCAGGCTGTGCACACTGAAGGCAGCCAGCAATGAGCAGTGCCACTGGGAACTGGAATAGCCTTTGCTTTTCTGCGATGTGTGGGACAAGATTGGTTTGGCTCAGGATCTTTAGCCTCAGCCATTGTGTGGAGGAGGTTGACTGCGCAGAAAGACAGGAAGGGGTCTTGTAGCTTAGGAGCTGTAACAATAGACATTGTGTATGTAGTGACTGATGTACGCGTGCCTCTGCACTTAAAAATGCCTCTGAGTGAATCGCAACCTAAAGGGCTGTGTCTTGCCCAAGGTCATCTTCTCCTTTCTTGCTCTGCCTTTAGGCTGCAAGTCTTGCTGCTAACTACCAATAGCTGCCAGGAGAAAAATCAATATGTGGGGGAAGCTTCTCAGCAGTCATTTAACTGCATAGACCTTATTTATCTTTTGGTAGGAAACTGTAAGGTGAGTTCAAGTCAGACACTGAACTTTGTCTCCCACGGTATGGATGATTTGGGAATGAATCATAGAATCCTAAAGTTGGAACGGACTTTTAAGCTCATTTAGTCCGACACCCCTGCAATGAACAGGGACATGCACAGTTAGATCAGGTTGCCCAGGGCCTGATCCAGCCTAGCCTTGAAAGTCTCCAGGGATGGGGCATCCACCACATCACTGGGTAAGCTGTTCCAGTGCCTCACCAACACCACTGTAAAAGACCTTTCCCTTATATCCAACCAAACTCTAACATCTCTAAGCCCGAAACCATTTCCCCTTGTCCTGTCACAACAGACCCTGCTGAAGAGTCTGTCCTCTTGTTTCCTGTAGCTCCCCTTTAGATACTGAAAGGCTGCTATCAGGTCATCTCAGAGCCTTCTCTAGGCTGAACAATCCCAGCTCTCTCAGTCTGCCCTTGTAGGAGAGGTGTTCCATCCCTTGGATCATTTTTGTGGCCCTCCTCTGGATGCTCTCCTACAGGTCTGTGTCCCTCCCGTACTGAGGACTCCACATCTGCACACAGTACTCCAGGTGAGTAGCCAACCAGAGCTTCACGGATGCCAA